AGAAGATAACAAGGTCCTATTATTAGTATTGGTGTGGTGATCAGAGTTATGGGAGACACCATTGTTTTAATCTAATTGAATAAGAAGAACACACTGGTTATGTGGTTTTTTGTTTCTCTTCGTTGAGTAGTAGTAATGTAAATGTAATGTAACTGTCATATATGTAGATAGTTTACAAGTTTACTGCAGTACTGCTACATTGGCTCGTATATAAGGGCAGTCAAACACTTGGTCTCTGCTTTACCCACCCCAAAGACAAGAAAAAGGCCAAATTAGAAGAAATGATGTTTCTTTTTTTACAGCCTGATTGGAAATTGCTTTCCTACATAATCTTTTTTTTTCTTTTTTTATATATTTTTTAATGTATTCATTTACCAAAACTAGTCATTTAAATAATAAAGTTTTGTTTGTTTATTTATTGAATGCCCTGCCTGATGAAATTAAGTTCAGATAAAACTGCATTCCATAGACGACACAATGCTCGCTCATTTCTTTCAGGAAAGATACTCTGTGATTTTAAAGCATACTGTCTGACTCGCAGAATTTTTGTCATTGGTCTTTGGCCACATCACACCACACACACCACAACACACTTGCAAATATATCACAGCACCAAATATGCTGTTCCTGGGGTCTAGAGCCGCCAAAGCCATCATGCTGTCGGTTTAGTGGGCCATGCCTTGTTCCAACCCTGCAGCTCCCTCTGTATTCGTGCCGGCCAGACAAAATACATCGCTATGGCACTTTTTTTTTTTTTTTCTGTTTTTCTGTTGGTGTGTTCTGTGTGTGTGTATTTGTTCGCACCAAGCGTCTGTATGCTGTCAGGGGTTTGTCTAACGCACCTGAACTAGCCAGGGACACCCACGCAGGCAAGGGAGTTGCAGACCAGGGGCAAATTGTTCCAGCAGTATTGCAATTAGGCATGTGGACATAATACGTCACACACAACACCATGCACAAACTTGGCTTGAGCTTGCATGGGGCGCGAAGAGCAGCGTGTGGTGCACTGGCTCACCTCAGAAACCTCCGAAAACAATTACTGCTCTCCACAGGGCTGGTCAGGGCACAGCTTGTACTAATAGACTGGACTACAAGAATTGTGTGTGTATGTGCGCGCGCGTGTTTCAGTGTGTGTGAATGAATGAATCAGTGAAAGTGTGTGAAAGAGAGAGTGTGTAATGTGTATGTAAGAGGTTATGTGTAGAGTGTGTGTTAACATTTTTGCCATGTCCATGTTTCTGTGTACGTGTATGCGTGTGTACGTGTGCACACACATATGAATGTGTACACACACCATTCTGCCATCCGCCAACAACAGCCGGCGCTGAAGGGAGCTGAAGGGTGCTTGGAAATTAAGGTTATTACACAAATTGAGCCATATGGTCTAAATATTTCAGAGCTGAAATTTACTAGGCAATAAAAATGGCCCCTACCTCGGTA